ACAGGGATGGGAAAGTGAAGGGAGAGAACTAGGGGGAGTGAGGGGAAAGGGACTTGCAGAGGTTGGGAATGGTATGTCACAAAGCCACTGTTTGAATTACCCTAGGTCAAATAGGGGAATGCTTTATTAAACCATGTTATTCTGCCTTTTGACAGCTATATCTTAAACAAATTAGCAGGCTACAAAGTAGAGCCTCTATAAGTAATCCATGGGGTAATCAATAAACAGTCTGATCCAAACTCCACTGAAATCCATCAAAAGACAACTACCATCTTCAGCAGACTTTGGGTCAGACTAATTTTGGTGGAGGATGCACATTTCTCCATAATTACCAAGAAAACTAAGCACAAGTGAAAAAGCAACACCTTTCCTGTCACTTTTAAAACATCTTTGTCAAATTTTTCCTATAACATATCCTTAAACAAGGAGGCACTTCTTCCCAGAAAGCAAGAGGTATGTACTTCTAGAAGCAAACTGTAGGCATTTTAGCATTTACCATAATGGACATATTACTTATAGGTTCAACATACAAAATATTCCTCCTGTTCAGATCTGCCCCTAAACAAAATAAAACAGGCATTAATCTTTGTGCCTAAAAAAAAAAAAAAGTCCACCATCTATCTCCAGTAAGCAAAAAATAATTGATTTACAAAGCTGTGCTTTATTTGCCCTTGACTGTTTAATGTACAGGGCTTTTAAAAGACCTGGCACTGGCAGAATAGGGTGAAACAGCACTACCACTGTATCATGTTTAATAATTGTAAAATGCTGCAGTTTATTGCTCTATTTGCAATAATAACAGTATTGTTGAACAGCTATCATAACAAATGTGGTTTTGACCAAAGAGTCACAGATGTCTGTCCTTATAAATTAAGCTAGTAACAATAGTCCATGCTTATAATGTTATTAACTTCTTTGAAATAACAAAATAGTCCATTGGTGGTGCATCATAAGCACCTATTGGGAAATTTATGTTATTCTGCCTCATGCATCAGATATCTAAATCAACAGCCTTGACAAGAACATTTTTTCCCCTCATTGTTAATGACATAATTGTAAAAGCACTATAAATATTTTAAAGCAGCAGCTGAAGGAAAAACTCTCACGGAGATATTGGTAATGTGTCATGAAGAGAGTACCATGAAGACAGCAGCCAATTCAAAATCCAAATATTCTTCGCTAGAGATAATTTAACTGTTCAAAAGCATCTATCAAACACTTATACAAGCACATATTGGAATAGTTCCCTAAATTTACTATTTACTCAATAGGCTATGATTTCTGTGGAATATATATGAATTGTAAGATATGAATACATTTTAAAAATGTACAGTAAACTAGCTATTTAAAGAAGGTACTGCACACTGCTCTTCGGTAAAATGTCATCTTTCTAATCAAGGCATTAGGGGTAATAAATCCCTACTGCAAATAAAAGTGTTGCTTGAATTAAAAACTAAGTTTTAGATCAGTAAATCCTATCAGATTAAGGCAGTTATGCCATAATCTTCACCACACTACAACCAAACCAAATTACTACTTCTTCCTACTGTTTTTGACATTCGAGCTATAAACTGAACTTCAGTGCAGAAAAAAAATTTAAAAAATAGTACTAAAAGCTAAAGGAAACACACTATAAACTGTGTATGTTCAGCACTGTGTACCAGAAAAGTAACTCCTTGTCATGCTGTATTTGACTTCCACTCAGAAATCAGCTCATTAGCTCCAGTGAAATAACACACACCTCAAAAAAACTCCAAAACCCCCAAACCAACAAAAACCCAAACAAAACATCAATCACATAAAAGAAAAAAGGGTTAAAAACAAAAAAAAAGAGTCATGTCCTGCATAACATCATACCTGGTAAGGCTGAAAGGCATGAGAAGATATCCAGCTGGGGGTTTTGAATTACACTGTGTAACAATAAGTGCAAGTAGACAAAACATAGGCATGGGAAACTGTGAGCAAGAGCCCAAGAGCAGAAATTTACTGCTGTAACAGGAGGCTACTCACTTTGCCACCTCCCTGGAAAAGTCATGTCTTCCCAGAAGGGGCTGATTATCCCACAAGGAATTAGAACAGCTTTTTGAGCTGCTCACAGTCTGGATTCAGGTATGAGATAGGGCAGTCTTACTACTCCAGTACACTCACATATCCTAAGACAAACATACAACTTATATTTGACTTCATCAAAACATAAACTTCTCTGCTGAACATTGTTGGTAGATGTTTTGTGAAGGCCTTATCTTATGCTTGAGCTAAGCACATCTTTCCAAACAGATACAAGATTATAATTTAAAGACTTGAAATGGTGGAGAATGACCACCAGTTGCTCCCTCTCATCTCTGTGTTATTAGCTGTAGTTTCTTTGGACTTGACTTTTCTACCCAGCTGAAGAGATACTTGCTATCCCAATTTGTCCTTGTCCAGCTATACCTGCCTGGATTTATTCTGCAGTAACTCAACTAGGCTGAGCTTCTCATGTCCCCCATAAAAGGGGAAACTTGTGGCTAATTTTTGCTGCTCTTCCCAAACTACATTCAATTGCCAGCACACTTTCAGGATTGGACAGCACTGCAGACCTCTATGGTAATATATAAAATTTATATTGCCTTCCTACTCTCACTTGATATCCTTATCCTTTTTATATCCATTTTATATTCATTCTATTAGCTACAAGGTACCGTTCTGAAAGGTCAAAATCAATGAAATATTTAATGCAATGGCAAGCTTAGACACAAAATGCTACATCTTAACAGTCTCTGGTAGTTTCACCTTAAGCTGAGCTTCAGTTACATGAGCCAAGGGGATCCAGACAGGAATGCTCACGATACCAGCTTTAATCCACTTGCTCTGAGCAACAGGCACATCCACCCTGTGCTTCACCTTGGCCAAGCTTCTTCTGAAGCAAATTTTTACTACCAGAGGTCATATTCAACACACTGCACTGGGAAATAGTACCTGCCTTGTAATGCCAGCACATGACTTCCAAAGCTCCTTTCCCTAAATTCCTGAACATCCGGAATTTCTTCAGCTATTGCCACATGACAGTGGTGCCATTAGGTAGAGGTGGGAAGATCACCAAAATGATTAGAGGGATGGAGCACCTTTCCTATCAGGACAGAATGAGAAAGTTAGGACTGTTCAGCCTGGCGAAGAGAAAGCTCTGGAGGGACCTTAAGCACCTTCCAGTACTTAAAGGAGGCCTATGAGAAAGATGAGGACACAGTTTTTGGCAGGGCCTGCTGCAATAGGACAAGAGGTAATGGTTTTAAACTAAAACAAGGTATGTGTAGAATACAAGGAAGAAATTCTTTACAGTGAGGGTGGTGAGGCACTGGTACAGGCTGCCAGAGAATCTGCAGATGCCCCGTTCCTAGCAGTGTTCCTAGCAGTGTTCAAGGTCAAGTTGGAAGAGGCTCTAAGCAACCTGATCTAGTGAAAGGTGTCCCCGCCCATCGCAGGGGGGTTGGAACTAGATGATCTTTAAGGTCCCTTCCAACACAAACTGATAAAATATTGACATGCTTATTTTGTCAGCCTGAAGAGCAACCTCTGCCATGGATCACTCTGACCTCCAGCTCTGCCCTCCTGTACTCCTCATCATCTCACAGGAGATGTAGTTCCAAATGTTGCTGCCAGACTTACAAAAGGCCTCATGACACTCACAGCCTCTCCTGCAGATGAGAAAATCTCCAAAGAGATTACATTAAGTGTATTAGGTATATCTTTGGTAAAATGTATGCAACATACATATATCTCCATATCTAACCTGTATATTCTATGTATATTCCCGGTCGGGGCCCCCCCCTGGGCAGATGGAGCTCGTTAGCCCATAAGGCAATCCATCTACGTCCTGAGGACCTCACTGCCACCGTCCAAGCGTGCTTGGCCCCGGCAGATGAACCTCAGGATTAAAGGGTGGGCTCAGTTCCGCGCACACTGTGTCTCACCTAAAAAATCCAATGCGCAGGCTGGAAGGTGGAAAGACCTTCCCTGGTTCTTCGTTCGCGAAGAGACTGGCCATTATATTCTATGAACACTAATATTCTAATAAAACCCCCATAAAACTGGTAATACTCATTAAATGACAAGGGTTATAAAAAAATCCCCTTTGTCCACATCTTTCTTTATTTTAAAGTGTATTTTCCTAGTAAAACAGAAACGAAACATGAGTTTCTACTACTGGAGAGAATCACAATTACATGATGGAGTTTGCACCTTTTATTTAACACTTTTAAGTAGAGATAAAGGAAATGTTTCAAAGAAATGTTTTAGCACTGTCTAACAACTCTCCTTGTTACAGGTTGACTGTACAAACCACATATAATTTCATGATAAGATTTTGGGTTAAATGAGCTGCAGAACCTCGTGTTCTCGTTTCTAAGTAACGCACACATCCCAAATCTATTATAGTAGAGCTTTATGAATCATATTCCTCTCTCTCTCTCTGCACATGCATACAAATGTGCAAATGCATGCATAAAAATGTAGAAGATATACTGCATACTTATGATATGTTACTTGTCCAATAAACAGCCATAAGACTTACATTAGCAAACTGTATCCTCAGTCTATGTCCCTCAGAGCACAAATTATGGAATCTCTTCTTTTTCTAACAAAATATGATTGCAAAATTTTGTTTTGAATTTTCTTTCCCTCTCACATGTCAATATGTGGAATACAAACCTTTGGCACTTTGTATGAATTATTATGAACACAAGAAGTCTGCTGGACATTGTAACAAAATTGGTGTGGAACACTAAGAAATTGTTTCAATACTTTTTAAGGAGAAAAGGAAGCAGTGTCTTTACTAACACAGTTGTCCTAATATTTAATTGAAGACTTTGAACACAAATAGAATTTCAGATAAAATCCAAAAAGATATTTCTGGTCACAAAAATACAATTTTCATGTAAAATTGAACAGTAAGAGGAATGACACAAGATAAAGAATTAAAAAGAAACTGGACCGCAAACTCAAATAATGAATAGTTTTAATTTTTTGCTGTATTCCAATATGGAGAGTTTTTGCTATTACTCTTAATAAACTCTTAGGCAGATGATATTTTCCTGTTAAGTCTCAGGTACACTGTAATGACACATAGAAAATAATATTGAGCAGAAAAGACAATGTATAGAACAAAGATTTCAGTGCAATGACTAAACCTCATGACTCCTATGCTTTTTATGAAATACAGATGACCTCAAGAATTTTAAACTGCTATAGCAACCAATTCTCTTCTCCAGAAGAACTGCCTGTTTCACGTAGTGCTTTCTGAGTAACAGATCTGCTGAAAAGCTGAAGTGATCATCGTAAAATGGGTAAGTTGTATGATACAAGATGACAAGACCTTTGCCTCTCCTGGAGTCTTGCTTGATTCATAAGCTGAACAAATTTGGTTTTAACTAAACCTCTAAGCAAGGTGAATTACTTTATTTAACAATATAGACAGTGCACTGCAGGGATTTTCCCTTGTGCAGTAAGTAAAATATATGAAGCTTTAGTCTGCGTGAGGAGGAATAAGAGCTCAAAGAACAATTAACATTTCAGCACATGATATATAGGAAATATGTCTTTGGGGAAACATAGGCTGATGGCAATCTGGGTTTATCTCTGCAGTCTCTTTTGGTATTTGCAGGCTCTATTTTGACATTCCTACTTCTTGGTTTCTTAGATCCAGCTTCTTTTGATTTCTCAAACAAAGCCAAAGTAAGACTAAGACCAACATCATTTGGAAGTCATCTGCTGTGAAATACACGTGATTTGTCTTTCCTCTATTCTTGCTACTGCTTTCAGGAGGTCTGTGAAGACTTGGATCTTACAAGTCAAGCAAAAAGTCAGAGAATGATGTCCACGGCAAAAAGCCTCAAAAAAGCTAAGGCAGAAGCTAAAATGCTTCTCTTATACCATTTTTCATGTGTTGCCTGTAATAAATTATAGATGATCAATTGTCACATCAGAAATCAAGAAAAAACTAATAAATCCCAGAAAAATCTATCACATTAAGCTGCCTTTTGAAGAACTCGGTATTTTTAAAGGTGAATTTATTTTTAGCCATTTTTTATTTTCTACGAGTTTTTGTCTCAGATTCTTTGTTTAATGAGAAACTGTTTTCCTCCTCTGACATTCCACTGTGACCCAGAGTCATCCCAATCAGTGGCAATACTTAACTGAAGAATCTCACTTTGGGAACTAATGAGTCAGAATATGTAAAACTGTTCTCCTTCCCTTTTAACTAACCTTCTGATTGGGCATATCAGATAAAGTTAGATGTAGATGCTTAATCTCTTGGCAATTTTGGGAGTCCTTGTTTGCTGCACTACTGCTAAATTAAAAATATGATCTAATTCTGTTTTCTAAGTTTTCTAGTCCATCAACCAACATAGAAGTCCCTACAACATTTCTATTCTAACTACATTAAACTATCAGTTGCCAAGATAGACTGTGAATCATAAAATTATTCTTACTGGGGAGAAGCAGGAAAAGAAAGGACTCGCTAATGACAGTCTTAAGTCTTTTGATCTTATTCCTCAATATTTTTGAAAAAGCATCAAAAAACAAAACAAAACAAAAATAAAAAACCCAAATGTAACAAAACAGGCCTTGACAACACAAAAGAAAAGTCAGAAAAATTTAAAGTCAACTGCACCCAGAGCCAGATCCAATTTTTTTTAATACAATTAATTCTAGACGTCTCTCAATCAAAAAGAGGTTTGGTTCGAGAGAGTTTTATCAGACTAGTATTGACAGAATCATGGAATATCCTGAGTTGGAAGGGACTCACAAGGATCATTGAGTCCAACTCCTGGCCCTGAACAGGACATCCCAAGAATCCCACCATGTGCCCAAGGGCACTGTCCAAATGCTTCTTGAACTCAGATAGGCTTGGTGTTGTGACCACTCCCCTGGGGAATCTGTTCCAGTGCTCAGCCACTCTTCCTGTGAAAAGCCTTTTCCTAATATCCAACCTAAACCTGCCCTGACACAACTTCATTCCATGCCTCACTTGAGCAGTTTAGGGCACCACAATATAAGAAAAA